CCCCAAAACCCCAAAACCCCAAAACCCCAAAACCCCTCAATCTCAACTCCATATTGAAATCCTGGTTGTACACTACGAAAACATATTTTCTTCAGTATCTTCTTCGTTGATCCTGGAGATTAAGTCCTTGAACTGTTCGTCACTGGAGAGCCGATGTACATAGTCGTACAGGTCCTCCGTTTTAGCAGGAGGAAGGGAATCCATACTCTCTGTGGACTGCCTGTGAGATGGCTGCTGGGCTTCTTCGAGAATTTTTCTGTATGGAAAGAGATGAGTTTGGGTAGAGAAAGGAGGGCTGCATGGGATGAGAAATCTTACCTTTCCTCTCTTTGTTCAGCTTCTCTTTTGAGAGAAATTCTGAGATTTCGAATTTTGTCTTTGACTTGAAGGGTTGTTCTGTTGGGGAGATTTTTTGATATTAAAGCATATTTGTTTTTATACTTTGAGAATAGAGCTAATAGTTTTTGGGTTTCATCTGCTGTCCATTTTCCTTCCTTCACCTTCTTAAGTTTGTTGGGATATTTCTTTCCTGGCTTTTTTGTATCTCCTATTTTAGTCAAAAAGAAAGCCAAAATAACAAAATAAAAAGGAATAAAATTGTAGAAAATGATAGAACTCTTACTTTTCTTAGCACCAACACTTTGAACTTTCTTGACCTCGACCTGAGTAATGCTACCTTTGCGAATTTGGGCTTTTAGCTTCTTATTTTTCCTTCATAGCAGAGCTGACGATCTTCTCAGAATCAATATCTACAGAGATTTAAGCCATACAAATACTCTGATAATGCTGAAAAGCAGGGGTTTTCTGTCTTGTAGGTTCATTCTCCCCTCGTAATGGGTAAGAGAACTCTCTTACATTATATTCTACACCTCTCTCCTTCTTCTGTGATGATCTTGGCTTCTAAAGATATTAAATTGGTACAAAATTAACTAAAATTTAAAGGATCTTTCCAGAGTTTTCAGCCAAATATTTGCAAACAAAATGTGTGCTTACTCTTGAATCGACCTGGGGCAAGAGGTCTCTGACTGACCTATTTTTGCACTGCCTTTTTACTGTAGACTTCTTCTTTGTATTTTTAGATGCATTCCGACCATGGATATCAAGCATACTCTTTGAAGTATCGTGGACTTTCACATTTTTAGGCTTCCGTTTTAGGGCTGAAGATTTTGTACTCCGTTGGGAAGAAATGATTTTGTTAACATTTTTGTAGATTTTACGGGGGTTAGATTTTTTCTTTTGAGATTGGGCTAAGAAACTGATATAATCATCACTTTCAGCTATTGTAAAGCTATCTGTCGGCTTGCTAGTCATATTGTATCCATAACAACCCTAGAATATCAATAAAATGCACAAGAGCCCTCCAAAATTCATAGATTAAATTATATTTCATGGCCATAAATAGTTTTTAAATGCTCAAAATCTAAAAATTTCAAACCCTACCTTCACATTCCACGCTTGAGTAAGCTCAGCTTCCTTCTGAGAGCATATAGAGTCTTCTAAAATCTATCAGAAATAATTTAAATTACTTTTGGTTTCTGAAAAAATTCCATATCTAGGCTCTAAATGTTGAATAAAGCTCTTACTTTCACTAGATGAGAACTTCAACGTTGAGCAAGGTGATACTCATTTTGAGTCAGTTTTGTTAGGAAATTTTGGAGAGGATTTTTGTATTTTTTGGCTTAAGAGGAGTTCAAGGTGCCTTTTTGGCAAATATGGGTTTAAAGGATTTTATCTGTCGTTGTTTTTTGGAGAAGGAATTGAAGTATGAAGAGGTTCTAAAGAGAAGGTGAGTGAGAGGTATTTAAAGTAGAGAATAGGGGAAAATTAATTTAGGAGTTGGCTGAGGACAATTTAAATATTGGGAGAGGTTTCAGAATTGAATTTGGGAAATTTTAAGTATAACTAGGTATGTTTTAATTAGGGTTTGATTTTTACTAGTTTAGATTCTGACATGAAGATTTCTACTGCATATTTGAATGACTTACTTGATGTTGAGAGCTAGCATTTTATTTTATTATATTCAACAGTCAAACATACTTCTGGGGTTTTGGGGTTTTGGGGTTTTGGGGTTTTGGGGTTTTGGG